TGTAGACAGCGGTGTTCAAACACCGGCAGTCTGTCTTTATCCCGTTTTCTCAATGGCCAAGTCTCTGCTCCACATATCAGAACTGGCCGAACTGCTGCAGCATACACTCGACCCTTCACAGACAGTCGTGTCGTGACGGTGCCACAGATGTCTCAGATTGATGAATGCCAACCGAGCCTTCTGTATGCGAAATGACATTTCATCCGTGATGCGTCCACCGCGTGAGATGTAGCTCCCCAAATAACGGAACTCATCCAATTGCTCTATTTCTTCCCCAGTTAGAGTGAGGATGGGTGCTGGATCAACCCAGTCTTGCAGTAAAATTTTACCCGTTGAAGGTGCAAAACGCAAACCGAAAATAACCACGCTGGCACTCAAGCTATCCAAAAAAGCTTGCAACTTACCTGGATCTTCACTTAGTAGCACAATGTCAACTGCATACTCTAGTTCAGACAGTCTGCCACCTGGGAGTAAATCGATGCTACTATCCTCGAACGAGGATACGGCTGTTTCCATAATCAAATCTAAAACAAAGTTAAATAAAAAAGCAAAAAAGAGAGCAACCCTGACGAACACCACTTTCCGTGGTGAACTCAGGCGAAAAGTGCCGTAGGGTCGAACTCGACTTCGGCTATTAGGATAAAGGGATTGTAATACTGAAATTGACTACTCGGACACACCCTTTAGAGCGAGGCAGCACCACAGTTTACAGCGGTCGACTGAGTCGAAAGCCGCTTAGAGATCGAGGAAGATAGAGATGGTGGGTCTACGAATAGAATATCGGTCGTAACAACCTCGGAAGGGCCTGAAACCAGCCTGGTTCTCACGCGTGCACTCTTCACATGCGGCAGACAATCGGCGGAATACGATGCCGGCCAGACGTTTAGACGCAATGGTGATTAAACTAATTCCTCTGTGGTTTTCACAAAATGACTTGCCACCTTTCTTTTAAATCGGTATGATCACAGATTCACACCATTCAGTTGGAACCTGTTCCCTCTTCAACAGTGAGTCCAGGAGTTTCGTTAACTCCGAAACCAAGGCTGAACCTCCATCCTTAAAAGGCGATGGAGACAGACGTCTAAGCCGGAGGCCTTATGCCTTTTGAGGTAGCTTATTTCCCGGGAGACCCCCATTGCAGATGGAGGACTGGATGTCAACTGGGAGTATTTGTCCAGTAGAGGTGGAGGGTGATAGTTCAGATGTCGATGGCGGGCAGTTGAACTGAGCCGCGAAATGTTCAGCCCATCGATGAAGACGGCGTTGCTGATCGTGAATCAGTGTGTCATCGGATTCCCTAATTACCTCAATTACGTCTACTTTCCTGGGGCTTGTATTCCTAATTAGACGGAAAAGATTGCGACTATTACCAATGCAAACAATAGACTTCAAACTAATCAATAACTCGTTCTTTCAGTTCTACTCGCTCATAAAAAAACGCTTTACACCGTGCACATCTTCCTTTTTTTCAGCTTTACTTCCATCTCACATTCACCCCGTCAAACATCACCATAATTTTCAAGATCTCCAGACAATCGTACTCCCAATTGTATCCCCGGTGGAAATTCCATCCCTTTTCTCTCGCGTCCTGCCTAGAATAGCGTCTAAGTTTCACCGAATTTCCCTCCACAGTTGAAGCTCTTTTTCATCCTCGATGCCCATTCACGCTAGCCACATTTAACGTGCGTACCTTGATGCATATAGGACAACAGGTGTGCTTAACTCGTACTCTCGAGACCCAAGCCATCGATGTGTGTTGTACCCAAGAGACTCGCATTCCCATTACGCGTTGGTTTGCACCAAGCTGTCCATGTTCTTCGGTGAGCGTCCTAAACGTACGACAGCGTTGGTTAGACTGCGATAAGCTGTTTCAACCAGCGTGCTTAGCCATCTTTCAAAACGCACTAGCTGAAAAGCTAGAACCAACCTTATCGGATAACTTCAGTGAGCACTAGTCGCTTATCAAGAATGCTGTGCATTCTGCTGGCTTAGTTAGTTGTGGTCTGACACGCCGTATTGTGACACCCTGGATTTCTGCTGAGTCTCTGTGCCTTCTTGACTCATGTCGGTCACTTCCGACCGGCAGTGAGCATAACCTAACACGGCTTGTAGTGAGACGTGAAATTAACGTAAGCCTACGCAGAGATCGCGAGAGCTGGTGATCTCAACGCGCATCAGAGATGGAACGTGCTGCCGCCATGGGAAATTCTCGTAAGCTGTTCCATCTCATCCGAGTCACCGGCAGGAAAGCCTTGGATGTAAGCGAGACGATCTATGAAGCTTACGGCTCGCTTATTCACAATCAACAAAAGACGTCTTGAATGCTGGGCGGAGCACTTCAAAGCACAATTTAGCTGGCCACAGGCGCCAGCTTCTCACACAGCTATTCCGATACACGTCCCATGGTCTATTTCAACAGACCCACCTTCAGAGGCGGAAATCCATAAAGAGATCCAAGCCTTGGGACGTCACAAAGCGCCGGGCTCCGATGGCCTTCCCCCAGCTCTATTTAAAGATGGCGGAATAAAACTTGCTAGAGAACTGCACGTGCTGTTCTCTAAAGTTTGGAACATGAGCATGTCCCCTCCTTGTGGGGGGAGTCGATTGTTGTCCCCATCTTTAAAAAGGGTCCGCGCAANGGTTTCGTGCCGGTCGTGGCTGCATCGATCAAATCTTCACCCTCCGACAGCTGCTTCAGCACCGTCTTGCTTACTGTAGACCAACGATTGCTGTGTTCTTAGACATTCGCGCGACCTTCCATTCTGTTGATAGGACCGCACTATGGAGATGTTTGTTGATGAATGGTTTACCAGAGAAGTATGTGTCGAT